TGTTTTCTTTGTACCATGTACTATTACCATCAAGTTTAATAAAATCCTTACAGTTATAAATAAGATGTTCGTTTTGACACAAGGAACATTTTAAAGCAGTTACACTGTTGTATGTATTCTTTTTTCCTCCGCGTATCGACTTAGAAGAACTTTCACTTATTGCTTCTAGTAAACGACATTTTTCTTGTAAGAATTCTTTGAACACGCGAAAAGTAGGCAAAACATTAGAACTATTTTGAGCTTCCCAAGCTCTTCTAGAAACACCATCTAATTTTGAAATTAAAATATGAATCAACAAAGTATCCCAAGAGTTCACAGGTTGGCCTAAAACTTCGAGCGCCCTAGTATGTTGTGTGACACCATCTAATAATTGTCTAAGCCCCACGTGAGATTCCTCATTTAGATTAGGTAAATTAAAAATAGCACGTACATGATTTCCGACAAGTAAGGGTATGTTTTCATAACGCTCATTTAATAGAGACCAAGCTGTGTCATAATTATTTGCCGAAACGCCTAACGATTGCACAACTTGTGCAGCTTCGCCCTTAAGTGAAAGTCTTAAGTAGTGAAATTTCTGAATTATATCTAAACTTACATTTTCGTGTATTAGAGATTTAAAACTATCTCGAAAAAATAACCATTCACTATAATCTCCATTGAAAGTAGGTAAGTTTAACTGAGGAAGTCTTACTTGCTGTTAATTATCAAATACTTTATTATCAACCGTACGTATATCATTATCAGTGATCGAATGTTCATGATTTTGTTCAGTTATTCTACATTGATCTGAAATATCAGTAGCTAAACTTATCGTTGAATAAAAGTTACTCTCAAAAGAATCCCGTTCGTTAATATCCTCTAAAACATCGCACGACTCGTTTTCTGTTGATAAAATTTCAATTTTTAATTGTATATCTTCAAATTTCTTTAAATGATCTTGAATTTGAGACAATCTAACGTCTAATTCTGACAGCGCAATTTGTTCTGACGAATTTTGTTTATCTAAAAAGTGTTTAAATCGTGTTAAACTAGATTTAAGCCTTCTTTCAGCTAACAATGCCTTTAGTTCGGCCATGACAGTTATATTCTTAATATAATATGAGATATGACAATATGAAATTAAAGAACGATAGTACTAACATTTCTCTACAATACCCTGACAGGAATTGACATGAAAATGATAAGGAATATTGTGGAAAATAGGAAAAAACCCACCTGATCTTGTCTTCTTTCAGCCAAATATTCGTCAATTGCTCTTGAAATCCCATTCAATCCGGCTCGAAGGACCATATGTTGCGTACTAAAACGCTGATTTTTGTGTGTGGTTTTATTAATAATATAGTTATCAATATACAACTAATTACGTAAATAAGTAAAATGATATGATGCGCCCTGTCTGACAGTAGAGGCGAATGCAATGGCCGCGGCTTCTTCGTCTTCGTCTTTCGAGAAGTATCTAGTCCTAGCAGTCAACTATTAAGCTTGACCAATCAGGTTGGTTAGCGTGGTTATTTGGAGTGTGTTAATTCATTTGTGTTTGTCAAAAACTCTAACGTGATTGGTCGGGCTTAACAGTTGCCTGCTAGGGCTAGACACAAGTGTCTTTCGGTGCCGGTCGCCGACGGAGGAGGGGTGCTGCACGCGTCACAAGGAAATGAAGCGACGTTGCCGTTGTGCGTTTTATTTCACCAAGACCAATTAGCTAAGACAAATCAAGTGGTGGGAAAGAATATGGCCATAGATGCCAGGTCTAGGAAATATTCCCTAACATTAAGGTTTCTATCGAGGAAATACATTTTTAGAAAGCATATTTTTGGACACAATTTAGTGTGTGTATTTAATTTGTTTTCTCAAACTTGGCATTTATAAAAGTATCATCAGATAAATATTTAAAAGAATATTTTTTGTTGGTAGATTGACCGTACCAACCAGGCTTCAGGAAATTTTCAAAACTTCATCTGGCAACAATGACAGTATCGAAGTCGTAGAACGGTAGACATACTTTGACACATTTATCAAATCAGTCGGATTTTGAAAGGGGTTGGGTGTACATCATTCTAGAATATATTTACGATTTTGAAGGTTATCCATACATCTCGAGATGTTTAATCTTTTAACAATAAAAATAATTAAACGTCCGGTTGTATCTACACTGCTCATGTTTTTGTTGCTGTTTCAGCATAATTTAAAACAAGCATTAAAAAAAATACTAAAAATCAACTTTAAAAAAGGACAATTAGCATAATAATTATAAAAAAATTAAATCAAAGGTTCAAAAATACCTCCCTGTTGTGCTTCGCAATAGCCAAGAAGGTTATAAAACTCTGACCTAACTTTAGCTAACATAACAGCGGGGATATTTTCTAACGACTGAACGATTTTTAATCGCAGCTCGACAATATTCATGGGTCATTCATGGTTATGGTCATAAATGGAATTTTTTACATATCCCCACAGAAAGAAGTCATTGGGCGACATATCAGGAGAACGTGGTGGCCAATTAATTGTGCCTTGTGTGGAAATTAGCCAATTGGGAAATGTGGTTTGAAGGAACAGATGTACGTTCCGCGCGTTATGCGCAGGACAGCCATCCTAATGAAACCACACTTCCTCAAAATTGATTGGCAAATTTCGAAGTGCTGGTACAATTTGGTTTTGTAGCATATCCAAATATTTGGCAGCTGTTAACATACCATCAATAAAAAAAGGCCCAATGATATGATTTTGCAGCATGCCAGCTCAAACATTTAGTTTTTGTGGATATTGTGTCCGCAGTGCCATACTAAGGTGCTTATTTTCTCGAGACCAATAACGTACTATCGAAGGATTGTGGTAGCCATGTAAGGGAAACGAGCTTTCATCTGAGAATAATAGAGATATTTTCCAAAAATAAATTATTCCGATCGGCTCTTTCTCTTACAGCCTCGCAAAACTCCAGACGTCTGTTACAATCTGCGGGAAAAATTTCTTGCGTGGTACTGATTTTGTAGGACTTATATCCATGCTTTTTTAAAACCCTGCGCACCGTTCGAGCATTGCAACCAAGGCATTTAAAAAGTAATAAAATAAATATATTACATTTTAAAAATATTTTTTCAATATTTACTAACTCATTTTATTTATTGTTTACAACTCCAAATCGTCGTCGTTCTCGCTATCACTGCAATTCGGCAAATCGGATTCCTTATAATACTGCATAAAAAAAGTATAAACAATAAGTCACAAGTATTCTTACGTCTTTTGGTAGTTTGGTTGCTAATTAGGAGCCGATAGTTCACTTACCCTACATTACTGCAATTCTCTCTATATACATTTCTTGCATGCAGGTCTACAAGGCAGGTTACTTCTCTTGCAGAGACACCTTAAAGTGGCGCATTGGGCCGTGCATCCACACCTAACCAATGCACGACAATGGTGTCTGTCTGTCTGTCCGTCCGTCTGTCCGTCTGTAACACGATAACTCAAAAACCGCTTAACCGATTTTAACCAAATTTGGCACAAAAATACTGTGGCACCCGAGAATCTGGCCATTAGTTTTTGGTGGGGCTGGGCTGGGGGGTTGGTAAGGGGTTATGGGAGGGGGTTAAAAATTTTAAAAAGTCGTAACTCCAAAATTACAGTAGCTAGCGAAACGCGGTTTTCAAATTAAGATTAGGAATAATATTTGCAACAAAATTTGTAATAACATCAAAATCAGTCAAAGTCGCAGTTTTCGAGATATTAACATATTTTAGTATGGGCGGCTATACGTGCCTCCCGGCGACAATTTTTTTAATTACTATAATTTTAGATGTTCATAAAAAATTTAAGCACTAGTTGATTAAAACAAGTATACCATTAATATTGCAAATTATAATTATTTATCCTCTGATAGTATACGCCTCTTTAATTTTTTGATTATGTACCTAATAGGCACTATTACATAATTACTATTAGCCTGTGGTTACATTTGATGCGTGTCCGTTCCTTTTTTTTTGGTCGTACGTGCTCGGACGTGCACGCAGCAAAAAGAATGGTATCTACGACTATCAAGTCAGTTTTGAAAAGTCTTAAGTCTTAAGTCATTTCTAAAATCAAAATGATTTAAGTCTTAGGTGAAATTCAACATAAAGTTCAAATGATTTAAGTCTTAAGTCTTAGAAAAAAGTAGTGGCCTCGGTTTTGACAAACTCGACACACAGGACATCTTGAATGCCCATCTAATGTAACCATTAAAATAAAATAGTCGTGCGAGTAAATTCCGTCAGAGCTCGCACATAAAAAAACGCACGTCCTCGCGTCCAATGTAACGGCGGGTTTGGGCTCCTTGTTTACTCACTTGTTCCGTCGAGCTGCTTGAATCCATTTTTGTCCTATTCAAATCGGTGTAAGAAATTGTGAAGCTATAAAATATTGTTTCGGGAGAGTTGAATATCCGGGAAAGTTGAGTTATTCGGCGTTATTGCACCCAATAACCACGTAATTACGCCCTCATTTACGTGCTAACATTTTTTCGACAATTTTATTAACATTTGAAATAGTTTTCTTAACATTTAGTTTATTTTTAGTAACATTTAAGTTCACTTAATTTTTACTACCCGAAACAGCGTTACATCACACAAACCTCGTACATGAGTGTTTTGTTGTTTTAATAACTGCACTATTAAAAACTAAAATACTTAAATATTATGGCAAAGCCACGGTTTTAATATTATTTCAATGCGGTCAACATCGGAACTGCGTGAAATACAGAGAAACGAAAACTTCTAATTTCTGCCGTCTCGAGCGCTGTGGTTGGATTTTTTAAAATCAACTGAAATGCACCAAGCCTGTAGAATAGGGATTTTAGCAATCTATTTAAAAAAAAATAGAAACGTCGTGTAAATCTATGCAATATTTTTTACTTGAGCGCTCTCTTTGCTCCCATATTTTGTGAAAAAGATTGGACGAACATTTTCTCAGAAATCATGATATGAGGCTTTTTCGGAACAGGCTGTATTATTAAGTATATATTTTATTAGAAAAAAGAAATCGCAGGGAAAGGTCTATAAATGTGCAATATGTGACTATGAAACACTATGTCGCTCAAATCTTGAACGACACAACAACGTTCACTTGGCACCGGAAGAACGACAGATGTTTGCCTGTGAGCTGTGTGATAAGAAATGTAGATCAAAAAAGGGTTTACAATACCACCTCAAGAATGCTCATGTTGATTTCAGGTAAATTAATAGTTAATATAAGAAATATACTGATTATGATAATTCCAATATTTCATATTTGATTTTATTTTAATTGAAACAATGACCTATAATGGAATTCAATAATATATATTCTTTTGACAAATACAAATAGTAAAGAGCCCGATGGATTTAATGTTACCTGTAATTAAATGAGTTGCAAACGCAATAGAAAAAATGACAAACCTTAAAAAATCCTTATCTAAAATGGGCCTAAAAACTATTTTTTTATTCTGTCCGCAGATCTGAGATCTTTTCTATTTGAAAGATTTAAAAGTAAAATAAAGTGGATACCTGATACACATAAACTGTTATTATTATCATATACCATATGATCGAAAAACGCGTTAAAAGCGGGCGGCCACTGCGAGCGAAACTAAACTAGCTAAGAATATACAAAGAAACGGTAAGTATTATTACTTATCGACCACTGGGAACGATTTTTGCTTAGTAGTCAGCTGCGTCTTTGTACTGTGTCTCTGCTAGCATAGAACTGGAACCTGTCACAAACTAAAACGGGCGATACTAATCTACGATTTGAATCTTCGTTCGTATATTTTCGTTTAGTTTCGCTCAAGTGGTCGCTGATGCATTTAAGAGTATGGGAGCTGATTTTTACAAATCTTATCTTCGCTTAGCTTATTAGTTTAGTTCCGCTCGCAGTGTCCCCTTTAAGGCGGGCGGCCACTGCGAGCGAAACTAAACTAAGCGAAGATAAGATTTGTAAAAATCAGCTTCCATACTTTTTAATGCGTCAGCGGCTACTTGACCGAATCAAACGAAAATATATGAACGAAGATTCGAATCGTAGTTTAGTTTCGCTTGTTTTAGTTCGTGACAGGTTCCAGCGAATTTTTCGCAGCGATTAGTTCTATGATAGCAGAGATACAATACGAAAACTTAGCTGACTACTGAGCGAAAATCGTTCCCAGTGGAGTTCCCATTTAATTACCGTTTGTTTTCATATTCTTAGCTTTAGTTTAGTTACGCTCGCAGTGGCCGGTCGCCTTTAGAGTTCGTGTGAAAATGAAGATCGCCATCTTTCTCAAGTAAAAAAATAGATGATGACAACCAAACTCAAACCATAGTTTTAAATATTAAGATGGAACTCTCTTCATATGAGCTTCATGGGCCTCACTGCTTATTTTTCTATAACTAGTTATTTTTCGAATTTTTTCTAATATCTATCACTAATAAAACTTATTGAAATATATTGCTATTAGGACAGAAATGTCCAGGCACATGTTTTGTCATTTTATTTATTTTTTTTATTGTTTCCAGAAATGCTGATTGTATACCAACTGATGAAGTCATATTAGATTCTTTAAAAATTGAAATGGATGAACTTACTTCCCTTTTGGATGATACTAAGTATGTTTTTAAGTGTATTTTTACTAATATAAAATAGAAAACAAATTTCTTGTAGTATAGGTATATAATAAAATTATAATAAGGATTCTTGCCACTTAACTGCTGATATAGAAATTTAATTCTATGCTGTGTTTGTCATAATGTGGAAACTTTCTATTTTATAATTTGGCTTGCCTGAAAAAAAAAGCCTTTTACCATCTTTTTACTATCGATAGTTTCGCCTCGGTGGTACGAAAGTACTACCATTGCACGCAGGCCGATATCTCCCGTTCGGGACTTAATATGTAACCGACACTTTCCGACAAGTCGGAATTAACTATCCCTGCGCTGTGGTTGTCATTTTGTGGATCTGCCCAAACTCACCTGATGATGAAGTAGGGCTCCGAAACCGGTAGTGAGAGCAGGTTGATCCACATTATGACAAACACAGCGTAGAATTAAATTTCTATATCAGCAGTTAAGTGGCAAGAATCCTTATATAATTTTATTATTTACTAATATATTGATAATAATGTAATTCATTAATTCCAAAAGTTCTCAACGTATATCTGTGACTAATGAAATAAAATCGGAAGATTTTATAAAAACAGAACCTGATGATGTCACTCCAATTCTGATTAAAGACATGCACGATGACTTTAAGTATGTTTTTAAATGTATTTTTATTAATTGATACAATATTGTGTTTTAAATATTTTTTATTGTTTTCAGAAATACCGAATATGTAGCGAAGATCGAAGATTTTATAAAAATGGAACCTGACGATGACGTTCTGTTTCTGGATAAAGATACGCATTTTTAAACGAAGAAAATGTTCATGACATTGAAAATTTTGCAAAAGTATAATTAATATATTTGTGGTATAACAACCCAGGGTCGTTCAACAAAATTGAGGAGATAATATTTTAACCAACTGTATAACAAACAATTTAAATTAAATAAAGGAACCTACGTTGTGTTAAATATTTTTTTATTGTGACTTACCTCGCCCGATTGCCCCTGATTCGCCCGACAGAAGCAATATTTTGTGAAATTTGAGAATAGGTTATGTAAATCAAACGCTAAATTTATTTAAATAGCCCTACTTATTTTATTAAATGAAATGAAAGGAATGTAGTCTGCCTGTTACTCACATGTAAAAGAGCATGGCAGAGAAGTAGAGGGAGATGGCCAATTCTGCGCCAGGAGGAGGAGGGACACTGCGCATACGCGAGGAGGAGGGGCTGTCACCTGTTAAACGTCAAATCAGTCACCTGTCAAATGTCAAACCTGTCACCTGTCAAACGTCAAACCTGTCACCTATCAAATGTCGAACGTCAAACCTGTCAAATGTCAAACGCCAAACCTATCTTACGTCATCAGTCAAACTTCTTCAGAAATCTTAATTAAAAGTGTGCGCAAACCTTTAAGTGTTATATATTTTTTGAATCGGTACACTGCAGGGAGTTAGAATTTCGATAAATAATACTGTTTTCATAGATTTCTTAATTACTAAAGCCCTTATGGCTTACTAGGAATATTCTAGATCAATTTTAGCGATAAATATTTAAGTAAAAATAAAATAAATCAAACTTAGTGTTATTACATTGTACTGTAAACTAGTCATCGGTTTGTGGTTTCCGGTAACAGCAATGATATCATACTTTTTCTGGAAATCTTTTGTTATCAATTTAGTGATAAATATTTAAGTAAAAATAAAATAAATCAAACTTGGTGAAAAATATATTGTACTGCGAACTGGTCTTATCACTTTGTGGTTTCCTGTTTGTTGTAGAACATATGTAGCAAAGCGTTTACCAGAAAAGATAATTTGGCAAGACATATGAGGATATGTAATGGTGAGTTTTTTATTTATTGTATATTTTTCAAAAATTTTAAATATATTATTTTCTTAGCTGAACAAATCCATACTGCCACACCCCAAACCAGCTCTAACAATCGTAAGTAAATATTTTTTATTTTATATTCTGCGTTAAAAATGTTTTTTATTTTTTAGTTATATGCAAAAAATGTTTGAAATCCTTTGGCAATTTAACAAGGCATATGAAGATATGTGCTAATGGTGAGTTTTTATTTATTTTATATTGTGTAATATTAAATATTTTTTTCTATTATTTTAGTCGATCATCCCGAGCCTCAAAATATGAAGACAACGCCCCAAACGAGTTCTAACATATTTTTTATTTTATATTCTACGTTATAACTACCTTTTTATTTTAGATACGTGCAACATATGTAGTAAAACCTTTTCAAAAAAAGTAATTTGGCAAGTCATATGAAGATTTGTAATGGTGAGTTTTTATTTATTTTATTTTATTTTGTATTAAATGTTTTTTTATTTTTAGTCAATCAGTCTAAACCCCCAAAAATGAAGACAACGTCCCTGAAAAGGAAGAGCTCGGGCACTAACAGTAAGTGACTATTTTATTTTATATTGTGTAATTGTAATTGTAAATATTTTTTCTATTATTTTAGTTGATCAGTCAGAGACAACGCCTCCGATAGCCAAGAGTACCAGACTTGGTTTCAATAACGGTAAGTTTTTTATTATTGCTCAACACCTTTTAAATTAAACTATATATTTTTTTAGAACACTTGATAATGCAGGAGGAGGGTGTTTACGTAGTAAAAACCTCATAACAAAACCGAATTGCTACATACCGGCTTTTATCGAAAAAAGATCCTACCAGCGTTAATGATTTTTTGAATAATCTGCGCGAAAAAATCATTGCGCTGGTAAGGTTGTTACGGTTATATATTTTAAAGGGGAGTGTCAAAATTTCAAAATAAACTAATTTTAGATGTTTACAGAAAACCCGCAAACACAGATAGATACTTAAATTTCACATCTAATCATAGTATAAGTGTAAAAAAGGTGTTATATGATAGGGTAAAAATAATATGTACAGACGACATTTCACTAAACAAAGATATAAACCACATAAAAAATACATTAATAAAAAACGACTATCCACCATATTTTATTGACAAAACATTAAACGAAATACAAACCCCAAATCATAGACACAAAGATAACAATACACAATATATACAACTTACAATTCCATACATACGAGGCGTTTCTGGAAAAATAATAAGAAGGATAGGAAAACAATATAACATACAAACATCTTTCAAAACACAAAATACACTTAGATCAATTTTATCACATACTAAACCAATGAATACAGAACAACAAACAAAAAATGTAATATACCAAATACCCTGCGAATGCGATAAATTTTACATTGGTGAAACATCTAGACCCTTAAATGTTAGAATTAAAGAACATAACGATTATTTAAGAAAGGGAGATTTTCACAAATCTAAGATTTGATCAGTGGCAAAAAACCCATAAGGATTTTTTTGGATAGATGAATCCGCCACATAGGTATAGACATTTTTCATATACTTACTTTTGGTATTAGTTTACTTCTGTTCAGGTGGAAATATTCATTGCATTTTGTTAGCTGTTTGGTTGCTACAAAGAGAAATCATATTATATTAATTATATTATAAGAAACGATGTACATACCTTTTAATAACAATAATACCTTCAATAATTATTAATAAATAATCTGATTGTGATTTTTGTTAAGATTAATTAATTTGTGGTTAGAGCAAACGTCAAATCGTCTACGCGCCTAACGGTTGCCAGCTTCTTGAAGTTTTCTTAAATCATGCTTCACCTCATTCATATTTAGTCTCTAAATAATTAATTTTAGCATTTAACTTATTTTAATACTTTTATTTATTAATGATCTTAAACTATTATCAATTGTATCTAATTGTAATTGCATTTAACTTATTTTTTTTTGTCACGTTACACGGTAAGTAAATCTATTGTCGGCCCCAAGGGGCAAGACAATAGTTTTTAGCTATCTCCTCAAGTTTAATACTTTTCTCATTATGTTGCATGTTGCGAGAATAACTGACTTCTGATGTTAGTTTAACTCAGAGAATAGGTACATTAAAGAAATGCTAACTTCATGTTAAAAAATGGAAACAGACGCCACCTGGTGTCGCCTGGCAGTACTAGCTAAATTGAGGGGAATTGGAGGGGCGGGGCTTAAAAGAGGGGAAATTTAAAAAAAAATATTTTTATAAGTATCACTGACTTACTGTTTAAAGTTAATAAACATATTTTTTATTACTTTAATATAATTTAATGTATTAAAAAATATGTCTATTAAATTTACACAGCAAATCAATGATATTATTAAAGACTTATTATTTTCAGAGAAAATTCATAGTAAATAAATTACACATTAGTAAACAATATCATTTATTTTTTAGAGCTGCGATTTATATTACAATAATATTGAAATATATATTTTTTTAACAATGAAAAGAATATCCTGGAACCTGAAAAAGAAAGATGATCAATTAATGACTTAAATTAGTTCAAAATACATTTTGCAAATAACTAGTGAATTGGAAAGATAAACATACTATTAAAAAGACATTTTAGTAGTATGTTATCATCTATTTACTGATAATACATTACATAAGTATATAATAGGTAAATAACATGCATAAGGCACTATGATCCAACTACCTGTATCATGCGATAACACACTAATATGACAAAAAATATATGCTAATTTAAATTCCTTTGATGATCTAATGAAACACTATCTAGCCTCAATGCATGCCATTCCAAAGGCAAAAAAACTGTTATACCAAATAAATATAAGTTGAATAAAACATAAACCAAGCCAACGTGCATAAACAACCAAAAAATGCGTCCAAAAATACTTTTATCAGATCATACCCTTGGATATATTATGTATTTTATATATCGCACATCCCGTTCAAAAGTTTACTAACTCAAAATAGAGAATATAGAGAACATTGTCAGGAGAAGTAAAAGAAAATTTAAGTTAAGGCAATATGCTCCTTTTTGCATATTAACGGCCAAATAATATAATGTTGATTTAATAAAATTTTACTGGCATCCTTCTGAGGTATAAATCAGATTAAAAGGACATTGTTTTTTTAATAATTGTTTGTTTTGTAAACATTTTTTGAAGACAATACAGTTTTGAACGGGCTGTGCGATATAAACAAGGATCTTACTATTATTTGAGGTTAGAAAGTATTTAAATAATATAAAACATTTTCATCATAAATTATAGAGGTACTTACGTGTTTTGATATTATTATCAGGAAATAATACGTTTAGTTAAACAGGTACGCTGCCAGGCAAGTTCTATCGGCGGGTCTTTGCAAGAGTTGAAATCTAAAAATACAAAAATACGTTTACATCTTAGTTGTATTTACGAATAAAGTATTTGTGTGTAATTTCTGACTTACCGGTTAACTGAATAATCGCATTAAATACATCCAAATGGTAATTTAATATTGTAAAAAAGCAAAATTGTTTTAAATCACTTGCCAGGACAGCCGGCCAGCTTCTTTGTTGGCAAAATGGCCGCGGTATCATGTTTCATCGGCTCACATTGCTTAAATGTGAGTGACAAAGAAAGCCAATGCCTGGCAGATGTTGCTTTCTTTGTCGTTGGTCCTGGCACGTTTAAATTTGACTGTTGCCTGTTTTCCCATACAAGTGACACCCCCGTGGTTTAACTTATTATTATTGTTTGATTTATTATTAATTTTCTTTGATTATCGGATTAATCCTGGCAACATTGGTACTTAACTGGTTGCGGAAGTACCTAGGGATTTTATAGCTAAATTTATATCAGGAGGGGGTTTCGAGATTAAAATTCCAAGCGCCCAACTGTCTGGTGATTTCCTTTCTTTTCTTTTCGGCACGCTGGCAGTGAAGTCACGTATTGAGTTGAGAAATCCTTTCAGTTGATTTTGGGAAAGGTTAATAATTCTCTACGGTTAATTGATATTAGTTATATCATACAGCTATGGTTGAATTGAGACGAAACTAATAGCTTTGCATCTTTTGTATTATTTCCAAGGAAATCGCCCACAGTAGGTAAGTTAATTTTGGGTTATTAATTATCACGTGGGACAAATTTTTATTGGGTTAATTTTAAATTAGGCACCTTGGTTTGGATTTCCTTTTACACACCGACTTGGTTCCACGAGGGTTTTCACGACTGGCTAGCGAGGTTCCTGTTCAAACCAACTGATAAGCTAAGGGGAAGCCACGTGGTTGGGCGTTTTGTATCTTAGCGTAGGGGATTTTTTGGGACCCTTACGACTAAAAGCTAAGTACCAAACTTTTATTAGCTAACTCGTTCCTGCGTACTTAAAATAAAGATTGTTGTACCTATTTTTTATTGGTTCTGCGTTATAATTAGTTTTAATTAGTAATTATCATTTAATTCGTAATTATAAGTAAGTCATTTAGTGGGTACCCCGTTTTTCTTTTGTATTAAATTTTAGTAGAGTAGGTAATCTTATAGTCTAGGTTACACTAACTGGTAACCAGGATTACCAATTGTTGCAAATATTTAATTTATAATAATAGTCATTTTAATTTCCCCATATTATTATAATAATTATATAAACCTTTTAAATTGTATTGTTTCAAATGATGAGCTACCCTACTCTGAATAAACGTCTGTCTTGTTAATCTGTGTTTTATTGTGTGATTACATTGAACTAAAATTTTGTGTTTTATATAGGTACAATTTGAACCCACCTCCCAGACGGGAAGGTAGCAAGGTGCCAAATCGAAAGGTTTGGTAACGTGAAAGTCGGTCTGGAGCTTTTTGGTCGCTTCCTCCTGCAAACGAAAGAAGTGGAGGAAACCAAGTCCTTTGGCTGTCGGTTCAGGGGAGCAAGCCAGGGCACTGATTTGGAGGAGATGTTTGAACAGTTCACCACTATCATTAAGCGGAGATTCCAGGAATTTAATGAAAAAGATAGTGGTAAGTATATAATTTTTCTGTTTTTCACCGTACTAATTATTTTTTTTGGTGTTTAGGTTGGACTCTTCAGCAACTTCTCCACGTAGATGTAAGGGTAAATAAAATCAACCTATTAAAAGCCTCATCCTACATACCATTACCGAAGGATATAGAAGCGAAAAAGACTGTGTTGAACATACGAAACTCTGACCAGAAATGTTTTGTATGGTCGGTTTTAGCTGCCGTTCACCCAATTCATCGGGTTCAACATGCTAACAGAGTTCAGAATTATTAGCCTTTTGAACAGGAATTGGATGTGAGAGGTATAGATTTTCCGATATCTTTGAAACAAATTTCAAAATTCGAACAACTCAATAATATTTCTATTAATGTTTATGGACTCGAGAAGGGTTATAAACACGATAGGAATATTGTTAAAGTTGTGGGTCCTTTGTATTTTACTAGATCTCATAAGGTAGATAGACATGTGAATTTGTTATTAATCAGCGATGATTCTGGCAATAATCATTACTGTTTAATAAGAAATATGTCTCGCCTAATCTCAAACCAACTTTCAGGCAAACAACATTTAAAATTCTTATGCGATGGTTTCTTGGTTTATTTTTCTTCAGATATTAAATTAGAAAATCATCAAAAATTCGATTTTGGTCATGTTATAGTTGAAACTCCTTCGGATAATTT